ACTCCCAGAATTCCCCAGCCTGCAAGGTTGCATCTTGGATGGCTGGCTGGGGAATTCTGGGAGTTGAAGTCCACTCATCTTAAAGTGGCCAAGTTTGGACAACACTGGACTAGATGATCAAGGTAACTTCCAAGCCTTACGTGTTATGACTGTATTCAATACAGGTCTACTCAGAGATATATCCCACTGAATTCAATGAGATTAAAAACAGGCCCAGTAATATTCATACTCAGTAGAGAAGACATGTGCATACCTACGTGCAGGATACAATACCTATTAGAAATATGCAAGACATATTGCCTGGTATTTGCACTGCTTGATCAAACCTGTTTAGCAAGCTATATTATACACATAGGAGAAAGGAAGGAACAAAAATGGGAGGTGTCTTCTAAAAGAGTACTGTCTTGAGGGGTTGGTAGAAACATGTATTAGAGCAAGAATGACTAAGGAAAAAATTTGAAAGATTTTGATTTTATCAGACCATGGTGAACTTCAGAGCTTGCTTACTGCTGTAAGTTATTTTCCTTTGTGATAAAAATGGTATAACACTGTTATTTGGGGTTTTTATTTCTAATAAACCAAGAGGAATATCTACTACTCATGATTATTAGAAGGAAGCTATTATGTATTATGTATCATTATCATTATTAATCCTCTTACTCCCCCAAGAACTTTCAAGTTGGCAATGACTTGTGTTTTGTTCCTACACCTCTCTTGGAACTCTTGTATTATGGGGATGTTTCTCTTATTCAATCATCTTGACTCATATATGGAATTTTCCTCATTGTGTATTCCATCATTCCCGTTACTGTGAAAGAAAGAGAAAATAGGAAAAGATAAAATAGCTCCACAATTTGTTTTAACTGCATGCTCTTTCGCTAGATGGCTTCTAAACAGGTATGGTACTTTCCTAAACCTTCTAGTTTCTGATATCATGTGAAGATATCATATGGTTATTTTGGTGTATGCTGCATGCACTTCCTTGTTAATAAGTAGCTATATTGTACCTTACCCATGTCCATGCATGGCTAAATTGAGAGTGGAAATGATAGGCTAGTTTTCACCACTCATATTTGAACAGCTTATGTCAGGTTTTCTCAAGCTGGTATCCTCCAAATTCACTGAGCATCCCATAGACCATGCTGTTTAAGAATCATGGGACTTGAGGTCTAATACATTGTGTTCAATTACAAAATGCATACACATTTCAATCTTGTGTTTCAGAATCAGTTTGCAAATGCATTATGAGAATGGTGGAAAAACTGCAACATCAACCAAACCTCTCTGTCCAGAATTTCTTTTGGTAAGTGGGCAGCCATATTATACATTTGTAAAAAATAAAAAATAAAATAAAATACTCACCCAAAATACCATCATTTAATATGATGATACTTGTTCTTGGCATTACTATCAAGCTGAGTCTTCTGCTGGCACTATTTCTGTAACTTTTTTGAGTAGGATTCAAGAAAGCTGGGTGATGGTGACACCTTTCTCTACCCCCTTTTGCCTGTGACTGCACTATTTTTCACTTGCAAAGACTAAATATATTTAAGTCACTAACTTTCTACCTTCAGAATGGACAGTTTAATGTATTCACAGGATCCAATCTATCATTATTTTAGTTTGTGGCATGTGGAATACACCAGTACATAAAGCTATGTAATGCTTTGACAACTGGACAGTAATTTTAATTTTGGTTGACTACTGTTTTTAATGTCTTGTTAGCCATCCAGAGTCTCTGGTGCCCATATAAACTGAATAAAGGAAACAAACAAACAAACAATAATGCTCCAGCTAGCCCTTTCCAATTTTGGGATGCTTTCAAGGTACCTATAAAGGGGATGGTATTCATTCATGAAATTATTCCCAACTTCATCTCAGTCCAGAAAGCATGGATACCTCAGGGACTCAGCCCCCCATATTCCCATGCCAGTTTTCTATCATGGTGTAGGATGTACAATCCTTTCATCCCTTTGTGGTGCAGTGCAGGAGTTATGTATATCTGTCAGGCCTAGCCCAAGGAACTCCAAGAGACAATGCAAAATCAGTTCAGCTATGTTTATTAAGTACAACCTCTAGCAAGAATC